TCTGTATTCGGGAAGTCCCGGGCTCAGATCTCGACCCCGGAAACAGCTATCAACTACCGCAAGCCAATACCAGGATAGTACTTCCGTCAAGTACAGCTTCCTTCCTTATCCTTTAAAGTTCCATTAATCATCCATAAATTCGACGCTATAAAGTATGAGCGTCTTTAAATAGGACGAAACCACGCACAAAAGACCTAGAAACGCTCTGTATTCAAGTGCCCCCAATCAGAGTCCTCCCCTGAATGAGAGACCGGGTTTAATATTCATAAGAATTAGGTAAAACTGTACTTTCGTATGATGTGATCTGATCTTTGCGTTTTGAGACGGCAGATTAACTAAATGGCAGAAAACATTACCTGAACTTATCCGGCGCTTAATTCGGTGAGATCCGACGCTCTAACGCTGAAGAGTTTTGCTATTGGCTGGCTTTTGTGTTTTTTGTAGTCTAGCAGACACGGACCGACGTTTCAGACTCTACCTTAATGACTCCAACATCATCCATTTGTTTACCAGTGTGTACCAGAATTCACATCGCTACATCCCAGAAGCCAGCCACTTCACATTCTTTATTTCTCCGCGAATGAAATTTCACTCCCAAATACTCGAACCTCTGACACATTTTCAATGGATCTCTGTTTGATTTTGTCCACGAGTCTGATTACGAAACACGAGCGTGTACTAAGTTTTCTCTGCGTTTACCGCCAGAACAATAAAATCATCACACTTGACAGAAATGATTTATGATATTAAAAAAATATCGTCTATTTCAACAAATTTCCTGATGACGTGTTATGTACTCCGTTTTGAGTACTTGATGGTTTAATTTTCATCTGTATTCAGTTGAATGAAAGTGAAGTGGTTTTGCGCTAACACAAAGCCAATAAAAGAACGAATCAGGTTTCCTATTCATTATTTCAGTACGCTATTTAAGTTTCCCCGATGAAATTAGCCATTAAAACACAAATGGAAGGACGGATTCGATAGTCTAAAAAAAAAATCGATGGACTTTTTTTAAACTTAAATCTGCGTACACGTTGGTCCTCTCACGTTATTATAAGTCCGCAGATCATTCGCACGGGATGTGATTTTCAAAAGAGACCGTATCGCATAATTAGTACACTACGTAAACTATTTTTGCCTTAAATTCTTCGCCTGAAATAACTTTCTTTTGCAATTTGGCGATCACACGGAGGAGATACGAGTACACACTATACGTTATGAAGTTAACCGCGCCGTTCTGATTAGCGAGAACTTCAAAATTTCAAGTAACAATTAACGTAAATATTTAAAAATAAAATAAAAATAAAGACGATAATTTTTCTTCCCGGACAGATGTTTGCGTCAATTACAAAGAAATTTGCCTTTGCTTAACGCAAAATAATTCTTCCCGACAAATTGTGAATGTCGTCAAACAGACCTTCATGAAATCTAAAACTCCTTGACGATGGTGAAGAGTCAATTGAATAAAAATTTTCTTGGATATTATCCATCGTCTAGTAAATATAAAACGTAAAAAACGACGTTTCGGAGATGGGACTCTATCTCCGTTTTTAGGTTCCTACACTGTTGGGCCCACTAGATAGAGCTAATCCCTATCTCCGAAACGTCGTTTTACGTTTTATATTTACTAGACGATGGATAATATCCAAGAAAATTTTTATTCAATAGACCTTCATGAACTGAACTGCATTAGAAATTTCGCCTGGCAAAGAAATCGCTTACGTTCGTTGTGTCCCTCAAACAGGCCCGGCCCGTGATATTTCAACGAAAAGACTTCCGAGTGTTCCACACATTCATCACACGCGCGACTGAGTCTCTTATACTCGCTTGCCGTGGTCTTGATAGTGGCACATCTTCCACTCCTCTCCCCCCCCTCTCTGTAATGATACAGTAACCACGGATACACGAATGCACTTTGGTATCTAAAGCAAACACGCATAAACCACGAGGCAAAGGTGTGCCCGCCCATCCTTCATATAGGGTACAGGCATTGTGAATGTCTGCAATGTTGATTTCGCGCAGTCATGAAATTTTGTACATACGTAGTTGTGCGTTTTCTTTCATACTAACAAATTTTTGTAAAATAATTTTTTTTATAATTCTCTTCTAATTTTTTTTTAACATCTTCGACAGAAAAAAATATAATAACTTTGTTTCGGGTTTTCAAGGCAATGACTCCGAAGATGTCTGTCTTCTGCGTTGTAGCGTGCAGAAGTTTACCACCGTTTCACAAGTCCTTGCTGCCTCAATCATCGCCCTGATGATTGAGGCAGCAAGGACCTCTGAAACATCTATAAAGTCACTAGACTTAAAATTTGCAGTTGCTTAGTACCTTAGCACCTGAACATGGCAAAATTTACATTGTGCAGACAGGACTTAACCTCCTCCCCCCGTCACACAGACCTCAGATGCTGGAAACAGCCTGGAAAGCTACGAGTATGTCGTGGACAGCCGACAGGAGGTGGTCTCCCAGCGTGTGGTTAATCCTGAGCTAATATTCCTCCACCGTCAATACGCTCTATACTTTATAGTGATTACTAAACACTACGAATGTTAACAAATCGAGAAATATGTGGGCGGGAATGTAGATTACAGATGGGCGAGATGAGAAATGTTAACAGAATTTCGTTTCGGAAACAGTAAATGAATATTCATGACTGGAAATTGTACTCTTTTGAGAACACCGACTCTCCAAAGGTGTTCTTCACGCAGGATCAGACGTTGACGTCAGCGGGGCAACCCCGATCCGAGGTCTTGCACCGACAAAGCACTGTCGCTGAGGAATGCGACAGACATGGACAGGTCTTCGAGAAATATTATGGGAATGTGTGTCGTCTGGGTTCATGCGACTCTGGATAGAATCCTGTGGCAAGCTTTTGTGAACACGGTAATGGACCTTCGAGACTACTCTGACCAGGTTAACAGCAGCAACGTGTGTACGGAAGAAGGACTTGGCTCTGGGTACACTTGCCCCAACCTCACATCACGAGACGTCCTTATCACATCACATAATAATAACAATAACAAATATGTGTACGTTTTCCGGGAACTGTGGTTCTGCAGTTTTCCTTGAGCTTAAACACTTGCGACATTCACAAGATACTTCATGACATATTTATAGACGATAAGTCACTTACATTATCGACAACCGATCCTCAGTCGATTCAGATAACACGTAATAAAAATTGCGCGCAATACGGTCCCCATAATATCAAAATATCCGTCACTCCACAATCCCAAGGGAGCCCCAACCTGTTGCTCGTAAGCACCGATCTGCTCTCGAGATCAGATTTCCAGATGTTTGGCTTCACTTACCAGCTTGGAAACGAAGAATAATGGCCACTATGTCTTGTTCGTGAGAGTTCTCGTAATCGATAGTGTAAATACGATAAATCTTCATCAGGCATGAACGAGTCACTAAAATCCTTCGATCGAAAATTGTTATAAATACGGAAACAGCTAAATTTCATTACAACAGCAGCCAGGACTTGCACAGAACCACGTTTAGCCTCATCTGAGATCCCAAGTTTAATTACAAACATCAAAGAATCTCGTGACATTGAACAGACATCGCTATTAAGGGCAGTCATAAAAAAAAATTGTAAAACCATGAAAAGTGGAAAGTACGGTAAAGCACTTGAAGAAGTTTATTTTTCAAAAAGACGCCGTGATGGGATGAACTGATTCAGCGTCCGATGAAATCAAGAATTAACTGTTTTTAACCCAGATTGGATGTACCTGTTGTCCGAATTTGCTATCAGATCGAAGAATCTACAATTGTCTCAGGAACTTCCGTCTGTCACGTAATACTTTGGTGAAAAAAACTTGTTCTGTCGGCCGATCACAGACAGAGAGGACCGGATGACTACGTCACACCTACAGGATTTCGATGACAACGATAAGTATTAAATTAATTATTCGGTTTTGTCCGTCTAATCACAATTATATTTAAAATTTAAAATTTACAAATCAGATAATTAAATTAAATCCAAATGTAAATCGATTATTCGATGTGGAACATAAAATTATAATTTAATTATCTAATTTGTAAATTTTAAATATAATTGTGATTAGACGGACAAAAACCGAATAGTTAATTTAATATTTGATTCACAATATGACGCAATTATACTATCTTAACGATAAGTAAAACAATACGTGGGGATATATGGGCACATAAGTCGTATCGGGACTTAAAATCCGTCCAACTGCTTCTCGTATCAAAGCCCAAAGCTTCATCGCCGTTCAAAATTATTTACGCAACAGACGACTTGTCTCGTACGTAAGTCCGAAACACCGGTCCGTGTCTCAATATTGATCAGGTTGCACCACAAGTTCAGTCCACTTTCCCGTTGCCATAGCGACTACAAAGTAACATTTAAACAGCAGCAGGAGGACCCTTCAACAAGACCAAGTAACGTGTCGTTTCCACGACGGACGAAAATCCTTCTAAAGAAGCTGATAATCGCCGAAGGTCCATTTCCGAGGTCATTAATAACAGCGTCAGGTCTCAGCCCGGGTATTTGCATTTCTTCGGCTAAAATGTCGTAAGCATTGCCCTCGTGCATGCTACCGTGTCCAGCCCACGTCATCCTCCCCGATTTAATCGTCCCCCACCCCCCCAAAAAAAATTTTGTGAACGGTACCAAATTTGAAACTCTTCATTTTGAACGTCTACCCAGTCTCCTGACATTTCCTCTCTCACGTGGCCTAAATTAACGGACTATAACGGGGGTCTGCCCAGAGGAAAAACTTAGGACAGATAGCCGGTCACCGAACCCAAATTCTAATCCCGGACCTCCCGATCACAAAGCCATGTACTTCTGCGTCTGTACGTGAAATTTAAAAAAAATATATTATTTTATTATAAACACTGAATAATCAGTAATACAATTTATTTAATTTATTTTAGATGTAGATTATATACTACGTATAACTTGAATTATACACCAACAACTTTGGGGGTACAAAGTTGAAGAGAAATTATATCTGGGGGTACGCGAACAAAAAAGGTTGAATGCCACTACCCTAGACAGCCGCCCCAGCAGAAGAAGCGAAACCTCCCCTGTTTCTGCAGCTCACGCACACGCCTGGTCTGCAAGGACGAGATTCTCACGACCTTCTGACCGCGGATTATGGTCTTCAGGGCTGTGACCTCAGGGGAAAGTCGAAAGGTCGGGGGTGATTTATCCCTCCGAAATATTAGCACGAAACGATCAATAAATATAAAACCTGCGGTTAGGATCAGAGGGGTTGTCAGATTGTACTCACATCAGAACTTGTGATGGTTTTACTATGCACTGCAAAATTATTACGTTCAATGATACACAGTCTGTGTCAGAGATCACCTCTGATCGGCGTCACTTCCTGAGGGTTTGAAGAGACAGAAAGTGTGGTTTAACAAATGTAAAGACATTTTTTCTTCCAAGACGAAGGATTAAGTACATTCCACACAGATCTCGTGATCTCACATCATTTGGCCACTCTACAACTATTAACAAACAATACGACTCCAAACTCCAGCAAAATTATCCTCGGTCAGTCAAGGGACTTTGATACATGGAGATCCTTGCTCTAGTGAAAACAGGATTCACAAGTATCGGAATTATTTTCTTTTGGGGGAGGTCTGTGGTTCGTACCTGGTACCTAAAACTTTTCTACTAATCTCGCAGGCATCTTTGCTTACATTACAGACTCCCTCCGGATAATTCCTGTCAATTATCGAGCCAATGATTATTACGTTCCTCCGAAACAGCAAAAAAAAAAAACACGAAAAAATTGTCGTTCCTTTTACAAAACCTTTAAGCTTTACGCACATCCATGTAAATAATTTCATCCACAGTTTTAAGCTACTCATAATTTAGAATAAGGGAAAACTTCTTCTAGAATTATCTTTATGAAACATGAT